CCCCCCAGTTTTTGGCTTTACTCCTGAGGCAGGGCTTGCAGGCGCGGAGATGGAAGATGAGGTAGGACAAGATGCCGCTGCTTTTCCTAGCGCCCCTGCCTCCCCCAGACTATCCTGCAGTCTTCTGATAGAGTCTCCTACACCAGTGTCTCTAAGTGGACGTGATCTCCTAGCACTCCCCGTGCGGTGGTACCCCTGCTCCCCCACCCCCTGTTTGGGAACAGGGCACGGAATAAGTAATAAACAGATAATAATATACCAACCATCCCCCTTCATTTATCACACTGCAGAGATATCAAACCCGCTGTATTTTTTCAGTTCTCTAGCCAACCCCATGTCCCCATCTCTCATGTACTCTATATCTTCAGGAAGTATTTCTTGAATACCTATGCCAGACATTTGGAATGCAGTTTTGAACAAGACAGGCTGTATCCCTGCCTGCATGCAGTTTACTGTCTCTGGAGGAGAAAATCAGGTAAATACCACAATTCACAGTGTGTAATAAGCAGCGTGATGAGCGAGCGACTCTGGTGTCAGAAAATAGCTCGTATGGTCATTGAAGAGCTGAGTTTTAAGCTGAGATCCAGAGGCTGAGTGGGAGTTTGCCAAATGGGGGCTGTAATCCAGGCAGAAAGAGCAGCTTGAGAAGACTTTAAATGGGGAGAAACAGCTCCGAGGAACTGAAACATTCAGCTTGGCTGAACTGTGGAATTTGAGGATGAGAGGAAGGGAGAGGTAAGACTGACAAAGGTTAGTCATGAAATACTTTGAAGCCTGTATCAAGTTTCAGTGTGGCTGCTAGTAAAAGATCAGAGACTTAAGTTACAGTTTTCTTTCCTTATAGAAAAGAAGCCCAAAGCACAGGGCTGTATGACTGCTCCAGAGTTCTTGGGCGCCTGAGTCCGTTTTGGCTCTTTTTCTCAGCCATCCCAGCCACACGGCTGGGATTCTCATTGATAGCTTATGTCTGGTGGCTGCTGCGGTGCCAGCCATCACGTCCCTGAAGCTGGCAGAAAGATGGAGAGAAAACCGGGGATGGGCACAGCACACCCTGCGGTCTGTTTCCACTTCAGGAAGCATTCTTGGGAGTTCTGTCCAGCGATGTCCACTTTCAGCTCACCGACCAGAGCTTGCTAACGTGAGAAATGTTTCACGTACAGATATTTTATAGACATAGGGACACAACGTTATCTACAAGAAAGAAAATTCTGGTCTTTGGAAAGACCGTAACCTTTTCGAGTCACTGAGTTACCAATGCATCTGATTTCTGTACTACCTTTCAAACCTCTCAGAAGCACCAGGGCTACTGGAGAGGGCAGGATAATCCTTTAGTAGGGGTACACTACTCTCTTGTTAAAATCAGGGGTATGTTACTAAGGAACAAGAAGACAGTCTTTGGAATGGTAACTGGCAGTTTACATGTTAGAGGTCACGTTAACGAATTTGAACTTTATGGGGAGTAATGAAGAATTACAGGTGGTTGAACTTGCTTGTTAAAAAGGTAATTCTGGGGGCGCCTGGGTGGCGCAGTCGGTTAAGCGTCCGACTTCAGCCAGGTCACGATCTCCCGGTCAGTGAGCTCGAGCCCCGCGTCGGGCTCTGGGCTAACAGCTCAGAGCCTGGAGCCTGTTTCCGATTCTGTTGTCTCCCTCTGTCTCTGCCCCTCCCCCGTTCATGCTCTGTCTCTCTCTGTCCCAAAAATAAATAAATGTTGAAAAAAAAAAAAATTTTTAAAAAGGTAATTCTGGCCGCAGTGGAAAGAATATACCGGAGGAGGAGAGAGGCTCAGGACAGACATCTAACACAATACTCCATGCAGGAGATAATGGTAATAATGATCAGCTTGACTGGGTTGAGGCAGGGTATAAACAAATAAATGACATTCATTCAGTAAATATTTATTAAATGTCAATGTTTAACACGTATAAGACACTGAGCATGGCTTGGGAATGTAGAGTGACAAGAATAAAAAAAGGGGGGGCACAGTGCTGCTTTTATGGGGGTCTAATCTAGTGGGGGCCCAAATGTAAAATTGTAATTATGACCAGTGCTAGGAAGGACTTAATAGCCTACTGGGAGCACTCACGGAACATCTCCCTTGAGGAAGTGGCATCTGAGCTGAGCCGAGCCCTCAAGGGTGAGAAGGAGTCACCTAGGGGGAGCAAGGTGGTGGGGGCGGGGGTAGAGGCTCCTTGTGGAATGCTGACTGGAGGAGTGGATGCCTGGGAATCAGGAGGTGATGGCAGCCAGCTACGTCTCAGGCAATGGACGAGGGTGGAGGTGGACGGGATACAGAAAGGTGGAAGGAATGAAGAGATGTTTGGGAGACAAGTTCCAAAAGATCTGACAGGTAGGTGAGAGAGGAAGGGGTTAAGGGTGCCACCATTGTTTCTCCCTCACGCAACAGGACCATGTAGAGTGTTATTTCCCCAGATGGGGAGTGTCAGAGAGAACCAGGCTTGGGAAGAAGGTCATACATTTGTTTTTGGACGTGTTGAGTTTGAGGTGCTCTTGAGACGTGCAAGAGGGCATATTGGGTAGGCATTCGGACCCGAGTGTGGGGTTTGGAGAGGATTAGGCTGGGAAAATAAATAGACGGAGCTACCAGGTGTAGGTGCTATTTGAGTGTGTCCAGGGAGGGATGGGGAGTGGAAGAAGAAAGGAGAGTTCTAGGACCCAGCCATAAGGGGCATCAAGGCATTTCTCACATCAAATAAATAAATAAATAAATAAATAAATAAATAAATAAATAAATAATAAATAAATAATAAATAAATAAATAAAGCATTCCACCCCACTTCATACATCAAACACCACCCATGGGATCAGTGACCTTCAGCCTAAATCCCAAAGCTCCTGGTGCCACCCAGGCTGAGTGAGTGACAGGCCTGCAGTCTTCCAGTCATCCCAGCCTGCTTCCACCCCTGCAGGAGGCCATTGTAAGTGACAGCTCTTGAGTGCTTTTCCTAGCACTGGTGAGAAACTTGTGGGAGTTTTGTGCTCCTTTTGTCTAAATGCCTCTGTGTCCAAGTTGAGATCATCCACTAAACTGGGCCGGGACTCAGTCTCATGTTAAATTTTGCAGTTGTTCTGGGTTGTTTGGGACTTTGCTGCACACAAAAGACACGGTCTCTGTCTTTGCCCTCTCCCTTCCTTTGGAGTAGCAAAGTTCAGCCGCCGGACTATGGCTGAGCCTTCTCCTGGGCTGCAGCCTATGAGCTCCGTGGCTCTGCTATGCAGGGCTTCTCAGCTCCCAAGGGCACCCTATTCCACTCCGAGGCAAATAATGGGAAGCTAGACTTGCTTGGTTGCTGTCAATAAGTCAACAAATCTCTTAGTACTCTAGGCACAGGATGTTTAGATCTGTGGGGCTTAGGGCAGGGAGTTTGCCTGGGGAGAGGGACTCCAGCCTCTGGAGAGATAGAATTGTTTGTGAGCCTTTGGGGAGCCTTCAGTTCAGCTGCTATGAGCCCCAGCCCTGCCTGGAAAAGTCTAGGGTCAGCTGAGACCCCAGGACTACTTCCTCCTTGGACAATGATGTCTTCTTCTGCTAAACCACAGGGTCTTGGCTAGCCTTCAGAGCCAGCATCTCCAGCTGACTGTTTTTTGAGGCCACACAGTGCCCCTGGAGAGGAAAAGGGGATTCGGAGCCAACTCCTAGGCAAGTGGCCCAGCTTTCAGTCTCCAAGCCACAGTGTGGCTTCTTCTGTCTATTGCCTAGACTGGTCACAGACTCTGGGGAGGAGGGGAGGAAGACAAGCTCATCCTGTAGAATCCTATGCTGTGGAGGAAATAGGAGGGGCCACAGCTTTGGGGAAGATTCCCTGGAAGGTGTGCACTGTGGCAGTCCCTAGGAATGCACAGAACTTGACACTGAACAGCATGACAGTGTGGGGACAATATGGGACTGTGCTGTGATTTTTGTTTGTTCAGACATTACTGAGCACCTACTATGTGCTAGCCTCCTTGCTTAGGAAACAAATACTAAGGTGACCAAGAGCTCTTCCAGGAGCCGACACGGCCACACACGATGGAAATATGACACAGGCTGTAGCAGAAGTGCACAGGGGACTATAGCACACCAGAGAGGGAGAAGGTAAGTCTCCTGGAGGTGGCTGGGTCTTTATGATGGGGACAGGCAATTCAAATGGAGACAAAGCACAGAAATATAATCATAACGATGGCAGCTCTTTCTTTCTTTCTTTCTTTCTTTCTTTCTTTCTTTCTTTCTTTCTTTCTTTCTCTTTCTTTCTTTTCTCTTTCTTCCCCTTTTTCCCTTCCTTCCTTCCTTCCTTCCTTCCTCCCTCCCTTCCTCTCTTCCTTCCTTCCTGAGGTTGATGGTGTGGACTCTAGTCCTGGCTTCATGACTCAATGTGATGTTAGGCAATTATCTTACTTTCTGTACTCCAGTTTTCTCTTCTGTAAAATGGAGATCATAGACCCTATATCAAAGATTGAGTAAATGATAGTAAATATTAAGCACTTACTACATTCTAGACCCCGCATATACATACTTTCTAATTCTTACAACAACCCCGAGAGTAGGTTTATCTATTTTTCAGAGGAAGAAAAGTGACACGGGTTGCTTATGCTCATATGGGTTAAAAGCTGCTGTGGGGATTTGAACCCTTCTCAGTCTGACATCTAAACTCAGGGCCTTTCTTCCATTCCATGTCTAGTGGGAGAAGAACACTATATATATAAGTAGAATGAGGGCATAATGACACCTTTTGACACTTCCTCTCTGGTTGGTTGGGGCATATCTTGGTAGATCTGTCCAACACCAAATTTGGTTCTTTGTAGAAGTATGGTTGTCAGTTTCCCCAAGAGACTGTGGGCAAAATCTTTTGTGACTGTGTTTCTCACAGGGCAGCTGGAAAAACCAAAGCAGGAATTTTAATGTTGGAACTTTACAACTCAATAATAAAAAGGCAAATAAACCAATAGAAAAAGGGGGAGGGGTGGGCAAAAATATTTTAACAGACTTTTCACAAAAGAAAACAGATGTATGGCCAATAAGCATATGAAAAGATGTTCAACATCATTATACACCAGGGAAACGCAAAATAAAACCACAATAAGATATATGTATACCATATAGCTAAAGCTAAAAAATCCAAAAAATTAAAAACAAACGTTGAGCAGGATGTGGAGTATCCAGAACTCTCACATATTGTTGGTGCAAGTATAAAATGATACATTTTGGAAAAAGCTCTGAAAGTTTCTTAAACAGTTAAACATTTACCTATTCTTTGAGCACTCCTAAGTATTTACCCAAAGGAAGTAAACATATGTCTACAGAGTAACTTATACAGCAACCTAGTTCATAAGAACTAAAGTCTTGAAAGAGCTCAGGTGTTCATCATCAGGATAAACTAAGGTATATTCATACAATTTAATACTACATAGCAATAAAAAGAAAAGCTGCTGATACATGCAAGAACATGGATGGTTCTCAGAAACATTCTTCCTGTGAATGAAGTCTTACACAAGAAAGTATACGCACTATATGATGGTTTCACTTATATGAGCCAGTAGAACAGATTAAGCTATTTCATGGAGAAAAATCAAAACATTGGTTGCCTCTGGAAGGAAGGAGGAGGCAGAGATTGACTGGCAAGCGGACTAACCAACTCTCTAGGGTTTTAGGAATGTTCTAGATCTTGATGGGTGTATGCTCTTGTCAGACTCAGTGAATGTGCACTTGGATTGTGCATTTCATTGTACGTAAATTTTACACCAAAAGAAAAATATCAACAAATATTAACCTTTATTTAATGACATGCATGCTGAAATATTTAGGGGGGAGAAGTGTACTTATGTCTGCAATTTACCTTGAAATGTATCAAAACATAAGAATTGAGGGATTTACAGACCAATATGTGATAAAGCAAGTATAGTAAAATGTCAGTGGTGGAGTCTAGGTGATGGGGAAATACACGTTCATTAACAGACGTTCATTCTTTAAATTATGCTGTATGTTTGACATTTTTCATAATAAAGGGGACAGTTATTCGGGGGTTTTACAGGAAAAGCTCTGCATCAGGTTTAGGACTGAGCAAATGGAGACACCAGAAGCACGAGACCTGTCACGTGACCTAGCAAAAGTAACCTTTTCAGCCTGTTTCCTCAACTATCATCACATAGGCACAGCGGCAGTGGCGACACTCGGTATTATTAAGCACATTCTAATGGGTAGGAATACCGCAAAGTAGGGAGTCATCCATTCAGCCCCCCATCCCACCCCCGTCAGGCCAAACGTCCACCGCCCTTCGTGCCCTACGGAGCGCCCCTAGACGAACCAGCCACGAAGGACCTAGCTAGCCCGTCTCTCTGGTAATCTCACCCCGGTTTCGGGGACGGCACCGGAAGTCCTTTCTCAGACGCTCTTCCTATTGGAGACCGGTCTTTCGTGGGGGCGGGCGCCGCTTGGAGGCGGAAGCAGCCGCAGGCATGGCGGCGGCCTTGCCGCTTGTCTTGCTCGTGCTGCTGCTCCTGGGTCCGGTGGGCAGGGGCCATGCAGAGCCCCCACGCGACAGCCTGAGGGAGGAGCTCGTTATCACCCCTCTGCCTTCTGGGGACGTAGCCGCCACGTTCCAGTTCCGCACGCGCTGGGATTCGGAGCTGCAGCGGGAAGAAGGTGAGAGGGTGAGACTGGAAAGGTGTCTGTGGCACTTGCTGGGACGGTGGGTAGAGACAAGCTTTGGGAGGCGGGGCTTGGTTCCCGGGAAGGGTTTCTGGGCCCTGGACTCGGGCCCCGACAAACTAGCTCTTTGGGGAAAGATGGGAGAGTTATTGAAGAACCCCGTTATACCGGTGGTGAAACTGAGGCCCGGAGAGGGGCAGTGACTCCTCCTGACTCCTAGTTCAGGTGCTCTTTCCGCAGGCCCAGGCTGCCACTCTATAACCCTGTAGTTAGAACGCTGCGTCGACAAAACTGACGATGATGCTATTGGCGGTTACTGTTTATCCTGGGTGCTAGGCGCAGTGCTAAGTTCTGTGAGCTATTGTGAGATGTTGGAGATGTAGAGAGGTAAGGGCACTTGGTCAAGATCACATCACTAGTAAATGACAGTTTGGTATGGCATTCGGATGTCTCTGGCCCCGGTGCCTGGGTTCTGTTGCTTCTTTGGGGTGGCTGAGAACCTGTCCTCCAGGATCATCACTCACTTGCTCCCCCTTTCCAGTATCTCATTATAGGCTATTTCCCAAGGCCCTGGGGCAGTTGATCTCCAAATATTCTCTACGAGAGCTGCACTTGTCATTCACGCAAGGCTTTTGGAGGACTCGATACTGGGGGCCACCTTTCCTGCAGGCCCCATCAGGTGCAGAGCTCTGGGTCTGGTTCCAAGACACCGTCACTGAGTGAGTGCCCACCTTGAGGACTGTTGCAGGCCATAGAGGGGACGTAGCAGCCACGGGTATTGTCATCCTGCCACTGCTCTTGGGGGGCAGCAGTTCCAGTGGACAGCAATTCTGTGGGGGGTGAAACTGGCATCAGAAGTAAGAAATGATATTACCACTAAGTGGCATTCTTTACTTTGGTGGTTTTTTTTACTTCCCTTAATACTTCCACAGGGTAGCACATGCATGTATCTGCAGAGGCAGGTAACAAAGAATTGAAGCTTACTTAGATGTAAGACAGTAGAAGACTGTGGCAAACTGGATAACCTTTTAAAAGACATTCACTACCCCCATCATCATCACACCAGGAGGGCCAAACAAAACATCTGTGGGCTAGAATTGGCCTACGAGACCCCAGATTTCCATGTTAGAGGAATAGCTTCTGTTTGGGAGAGGGACAGGTTTAGGTACTGCTGTTGTATCACAATTTCCTCTTAATTCCACTGTGAGAAATCAGTAGCACAAGTATGATTTAAAAAGGGGGGAATAATGGAGAGGGGTAGGGACTGTGGCTAGAGAGCTTGAGAGGACAGCTGCCACTCAGCCTCAGTAGATTGTCGCCACGTGGGAACATTGTTGCCTACTGTTGTCAGATACCCTCATTTGCCAGAGATGCCAGAAATCTGGATTTTAGTGTGCACATTGGCAAATTTAAATATCGGTAATTTCAAAATTTAAGAAATGCTGTGTGGGCCAATATTGTGCACACCAAGTGAAACCGGATTATGGCTTGGGTAGAGCTTTCAGGATTCCAAGTTTGCAGTCTTTATTTGAGGCTTCAGGATTGGGGCGATTGGAAAACTCTGAGCAGAGGATTATTGAAAAACCCCAGGACAACACTGAGGTGGTATCAGCTAAGGAGCAAGCGGTGATTTCCAGATCTGCCAACCCTTTCTCTCTTGCCTGAACTCTGGCTCCTTTGCCTTCTTGCCATCTGCTTTGCTGTCACTGTCTCCCCTCAGCTCATAATTGCCTGTAATGTGGAGCTGATGTTGAGAATTTTGGTTTTATGCTTTCTGTTATGAATATAGAGACCAAGTCCGTTGTGATATTTCTCTTTCTGATTTAATTCGATGTTTTTGTAGGGTCCTAGAATGGTTGTTTCCCCTTGTTCAGTGAGCCTTTATAGATGTAGGGCTTCCCACTCTGAGGGTGGAACCAGGACTTACTTTCATGCCCAGGGCATTCACAGGGAAATATGTAGTTTTGCCCAGCTGGGCACACCTTGGGTGGTTCATTGGGATGATCTCAGCCTCTGAAGATGTGGGGCACTTTACATGGTATTGTGGAACATAGGTAGGTGACCCAGACTTGCTCCTTGTCCCCTGGTTGCTCATAGCCTAGTTGAGGAGAAAAGATGCTTAAAACAAGATGCTGCCACCACCTAGCCATATCCCAGGAGGGACCTTGTGAGAGGCCCATATGGTCAGAACGATCACAGCACAGGAGGAGGCTGTGGTTGAGGAGGGCAGGAGAGCCTTCCTGGAGGAGGGGGCTTCTTTGATGGTGGGCAGAGAGGGGTGAGTAGGGCATTCCCAGGCAGGAGGAGGAATCACCTGAACAGAGACCTGTGGGGATGCAGGGATGTCCAGAGTGAGGAAGAAGAGGTGGGTAGGGCAAGACCCAGGAGGTGGCTGAGCAGGGCACCTGGGCCCTGGGCAGCTCCGGGAGCTAGTCAGTCTAATGATTTGGCAGCCAAGTGCAGGCTTGGACGGAGGGAGCAGAGGCAGCCCCGTGACAGTGAGTGGGTTTGTGTCTCCATCCAGCGTGGATAAATCTTGGAAGGAGCTCAGTAACGTGCTCTCGGGTATCTTCTGCGCCTCTCTGAACTTCATTGACTCCACCAACACGGTCACTCCCACTGCCTCCTTCAAACCCCTGGGACTGGCCAATGGTGAGATAGCCCCGTGGCCCTTTGCTTCTTTCTGGTACCTCTTGCCTGAACCTCTGCCTCCTTTCTCCTCAGCTTCCTCCTTCCTCAGCTGGGCTGGGTCATAAATCCCCTGGGTGTGCAGGCCCGGGAGGAAGGCTTCCCGAGGCCGTGCTATCTCTGCCTTGCCTTCTTCTCCCGAGGAGAGGAGGGATCCCATCCCCAGCAGAGACTGTTAGGGCGGTGGTACTGGAGAATTGCATGGCGAGCAGGAGGGGGGTCACCCCAACTTTGGAGTATGGGTCCTGAAGAGTTGGGCCCCAAAGCCCACCCCAGACAGCTTGAGTCTCCCTCAGGCACTGATCACAATTTCCTGCGCTACGCTGTGCTACCGCGAGAGGTTGTCTGCACAGAGAACCTCACCCCATGGAAGAAGCTCTTGCCCTGCAGCTCCAAGGTGAGGCCGGAGCGCCCTGAATGTGCATGGGAGCCCTGGAGAGTGGTCAGGGCTGGCGCGCGTGCCCCTCCTCTGCCTGCCCCCCCCCTTCCCCCAGGCGGTGTTCGGAGCAGGTGTCTCACCATGCAGGGCACTGACCTGTCCCTTCTTCCTGCTTCCCTCCAGGCAGGCCTGTCTGTGCTGCTCAAGGCTGACCGCTTGTTCCACACTAGCTACCACTCCCAGGCAGTGCATATCCGTCCTGTTTGCAGGGTAAGTCATGGGGAATGGCAGTGGGGGTGCCATCCAGGGCCCCTGAGGGAACGTGCAGGTAAAGCACGTAGCCTAGTGTCTGTCGCGGGCTGAGCCAGTAGTAAGTGCTAGCCGTGATGCTGATTATTTGGGGCATTTGGCCACACACCAAGGAAACTGAGCGGTTGCCTGGCAGGTGGTTAAGAACAATAGCTGTGTGTGCAGCTGCCAGCCCAGTCACTCTGGGCATGACCTTGGACAGATCATTTCATTTCCCTGAGCCTGGTTTCCTCCTCTGTCCAATGAGAACAATAGTAGGATCAGTTCCTACGGGTGTTGGTGATGGTTCATTCGCCTGGTGCATAACGCCGCTGGCACAGGGTCAAGTGCTCAGTAGTGAACAGTAGGAAACCGATGGGTGGGAAGATACATAATAGACAAGGAATTGAGTCCGGGTGGGAGTCCCCGAGGCTGTGTGTGTGGTAGGGGGCGGGGAGTGATGCGTCCTCACGGCCGCTGTCTGGCCCTTGTGGTAGAATGCACGCTGTACCAGCGTCTCCTGGGAGCTGAGGCAGACCCTTTCTGTTGTGTTTGATGCCTTCGTCACAGGACAGGGGAAGAAAGGTAGGCTGCCCTGGCAACTCATTATCGCCCCTCATCATCACTGGTCCTGCCCTGTCTGTGCAAACAAGGCCTGTCCCCAGCCCCCGCTGAACCCTGCCGTCTGCCCCTCAGATTGGTCCCTCTTTCGGATGTTCTCCCGAACCCTGACGGAGCCCTGCCCCCTGGCTTCAGAGAGCCGAGTCTATGTGGACATCACCGGCTATAACCAGGTACCGATGTTTCCAGTCACAACCGTCCCCCTTCACCCAAGGCCGGCCTGCGCCTCTGCTCTCTTCTCAGCCCTGCCCTTGTGCCCCCAGGACAATGAGACGTTGGAGGTGACCCCTCCCCCAACCACCACCTACCAGGACGTCATCCTCGGTGCCCGGAAGACCTACGCCGTCTACGACTTGCTGGACACGGCTGTGATCAACAACTCTCGTAACCTCAACCTCCAGCTCAAGTGGAAGAGCCCCCCAGAGAGCGGTGGGTGCGGATGGGCCGCTGGCACGGTGGGCTACAGAGGTTTCATCTCTGGGGGAGACTCCTAGTCCTTCCTTTCACCATGGATATGAATGAAGCTTGTATTTAGACCCAGGTCCCAAGTCGCTGTGTTTGTTTTTTGTTTTATTTTTTTTTTAATGTTTATTCATTTTTGAGAGAGAGAGAGGGACAGAGAGAGACAAAGTGCAAGTGGGGTAGGGGCAGAGAGAGAGAGACACAGAATCTGAAGCAAGCTCCAGGCACTGAGTTGTCAGCACAGAGCCTGATGTGGGGCTCTAACTCAAAAACTGCGAGATCATGACTTGAGCCAAAGTCGGAGATTTAATCGACTGAGCCACCTAGACTCCCCTTGAGTCTCTGTTCTGATCTAACTCCATCTTCTAAGCTCTGTGACCTTGGGCAGTTTCCTAACCTTACTGTCTCATCTGGAAAATGGGGTCATAATTACCCAGCAGAGTAGATGACGTAATTAATGTAAAACACAGAGTTCGTTCATTCAGTCAGCAAATATTTTTTGAAGACCTAAGATAACCCTGCATTTGAGAAACATTATGTCTGTTGATCGAGGCAGACCTGAGACAATTAAATATAATTAATTGTGATTGCATTCAGTGTTACCAAGGAAAAGTGCGGACCGTCACAAGGGCAACTGGTTTGGGTTGGAGGGGGCACGGAGCTCGGCACATACAAGTGCTTAGGAAGTTATAGTAATTCTGTCATGCTGTGGGCCGGGGAAGACGCGGATAATTCCAGAATGCAGGTTTCCCAGTTCTGATGGAAAAGCTCTTCCCCACTGCCTCCTGGCTCGGAGAGTCTGAACGAGGTCAGGGGAGTGGGCGTGAGGAGCGACCCTTGCCTTTAGGGGCTCTTAACCGTGAACTTCTCTGTGCAGAGGCCCCCCCGGTGCCCTTCCTGCACGCCCAGCGGTACGTGAGCGGCTACGGGCTGCAGAACGGGAAGCTGAACACGCTGCTGTACAACACGCACCCACACCGGGCCTTCCCTGTGCTGCTGCTGGACACCGTGCCCTGGCACCTGCGGCTGTATGTGCACACCCTCACCATCACTTCCAAGGGCAAGGACAACAAACCGAGTGAGAGCCGAGTCCTGGACCGGGCCCCCCTCCCCAGCTTGCTGTCCCCCCGGGTCCCCCAAACCCTCATGTCTCCAGGTCGTTCCTCAAGTGTCTCAGAGACACTGCACCGGCACAAAGTCCAGAAGGGTTTGAAACACGGACAGGGTAGCCTCACGGTGCCAGATGTGGAAGTAGTTTCTACAAGACAAATAATTTCAACACGTGGTACTACTGATTCTTAATAGGGCTTTACGAGGGCAGTGATTTCCTCATCGTTTTCACTTACTTGCTCCTCCTTCCTTGGGGCCCTGGGCACGTCCTTTTGTGCTGATTCATGGGCTTGCAGTAGAGAACAGGTTAGCAGCAGGAGAAACAGTGTAGAAACAAAAAACGATAAAGCTGGCGTAGGCGGTTTTTGTCTCCTTGGGAGGGGTAAAGAGCTGTAGTTTCAAAAACGTATTTGTATTTTCTGTGTTGAAGAGGAGTCAGTATTTACCGCCTGCTTTCCGCTAGGTGGCAGGCGTAGCACTGGGGCGCTTGTCGTTTGGACTGGAGGGAGACCTAACAGAGGACTTCTCAGGCCGAGGTTCTGGCACATCCCGAACACCCAGACTTAACGTGTCTCAACACTTGCTGTTGCCTCATTTTTCAACCTGGGGTTGTTGTACTTCTCTTTCGCACCACTGTTTGTATCACCTTCAGAATCTCTCCTTCAGACATCCCACGCGTGTATTTTGTGGACTTTTCTGTTTTGTTTTTTAACCTTTCGCTCTGGAAAGTGTCAAACGCACAGCGTGTCACGCTGCCCTGTGCCTGTCACGAGCGCCAGCGGCCTCCAGATCCCCTCGTTTGTGATCTCTGCCCTTACTCCGTTTCTCGATCTTGTTGCGTTTCTGCTGGAGTATCTTAAAACAGATCCTAGACACCATAGCCACCATGCCTTAGTCTATGTCTCTAACAGGTAAAGGGCTTCTAAAAGAATACCACCCATTCTTGGCACTCTCGTTTGCCCCAGTGGTCTTAAAAATAACACTTTATAATTGTTTTTTTGGGTGAGAATCGAAACAGGGTCCTCACATTGCATTTGCTTGATAAGCTCTCAAGTTTCTCTCTTTTTAATTCATAGGCTTTATTTTCTTAGAGCAATTTTAGGTTGAGAGAAAAACTGAGCAGAAAGCACAGAGTTCCCATGTACTCCGTCTCCTCCCGCCCTCAGTTTCCCCATTATTAACGTCTTGCGTTGGGGTGTTTGCTCCTAGGTCTCTCTTAATCTATAACAGTTCCCACTTTTTTCCCCCCAAGTCTGTTTTTCAGAGAAACTCGGTCATTTGTTATATGGAAAGTTCTACATTCCGAATCTGTCCTCGTGCCTGTGTTTAACATGTTCCTCCCTCCCTTACGTTTCTTGGTTGCTGGTGGTTAGATATAGAAACTTGATTAGATTCGGGTTCCACATTTTGGTCAGGAAACTTCCGGTTCTGTGAACTTCCTGTTGCATCACATCAGGCATCTGATGCCTGGCGCCCCGGTTTTAGCGATGGGAGGATTAACAAGATTGAACGTGTCTCGGGACAGCTGCCCTGGAAACATCTTTCCCCTTTTCTAGGACCCTGCTCCCCTCCCTGAGCCTGCCTGGCTTCTGCGATCCAGAGCCTAAGACCTTGATAGGTAGGGGCGAGGGTGCAGGTAGTCTGACCCCAGGAGAGAGGTGTGGGTGACCCTTGCCTGTCCCCAGGTTACGTCCACTACCAGCCTGCGCAGGACCGGCTGCAGCCGCACCTCCTGGAGATGCTGATTCAGCTGCCGGCCAACTCGGCCACCAAGGTGTCCATTCAGTTTGAGCGGGCGCTGCTCAAGTGGACCGAGTATACCCCGGACCCCAACCACGGCTTCTACGTCAGGTGGGCTCCCCTCACGTACTGCCCCGTAGCCTCCTGACCCCCCGCTGTGCTGCTTTGCCCCTGGTGGGGGAGACCCACCCACGGAAGGCCTGTCTGCATCTCCACAGCCCGTCTGTCATCAGTGCCCTCGTGCCCAGCACGGTGGCAGCCAAGCCCGTGGACTGGGAAGAGAGCCCCCTGTTCAAGTCCCTGTAAGTATGACCTCAGCCGCCTGCTTCGGGGCGGGCATCCACACGGACGATCAGGTTTCTGCTGGCCAAAGCAATGTGCAGAGTTAACTCAATCCCAATAAAAATCCTAGTGGTCTATAATATTTGTTCTGACTCTGTGAAATGATTCTGAAGTGCTTCCAGAAGAATAAAGAGACAAGGAGAGCTGTAGTTCTAGCCTGCGCTTACTCATTGATTCTCTTAACGAATATTTCATCGAGTGCTTATCAAATGCCAGGTGCTTCAGAGAGCCCCAGGCATACGGCAGGACACAACGCAGCCTTGCCCCTGCCCTGCTCATGTCAAGAGGCTGGAGGGGAGATTCTGGTCTAGAGTGATGGGGTCACGGGTGGTGCTGGGGAGTATTTCAGTGGGTTATCCAGGAGGACTTCTCTGAGGAGACAGCCTCGAGGCTGAGACCGGAGGCTAAGGAAGAGGCAGCCCAGAGAAGGCTGGGCCCCTTTCCTCACGTCAGCACAAGGCAGCTCTCCTTTGAACAGGTTTCTGTGCTGTCTTACGTGTTTCTGTGTTGATCCGAGATGTCTTCTGTCAAAAAGGTTTTGAGGCTAAGAAAGCTTTGCAAACCCTCGCCGCTGCGCTTGGACCCAGTGCAGCCAAGAGTGGGGACGGGGTGGGGCAGGGTGGGGCGGGTTGGAGTAGCCTCGT